TTGATTGCCGTTTGTGCCTTTGGATGGATGAGCAATGATTCAAGAACTTCATCCTATAATATAAAAACGTTTCTCAAGCCAATATAGCTTTAAAAACATTCTTATACTATATAACGAAGGGAGTAACTCTTAATAATGGATCATGGAGAGCATTTCATATAAAAATCAACGTGGAAAGAGAGAGAGATTTGGTCGAACAGCGGCGAGGGGGTGGAATGGCGTGTAAGGAGAGGAATGGGGATGGTGAAGGTCCCCGAGGTATCTTTACTCCTATAAAAATATGAGTTGATAATGATGGTGTGCCTGCCTTTGTGGCATCTGTACCGTCCGATTCAAAACCTAAGGCTGAGATCCAGAAGAGTTGTCCACGAGCCCCGACGTCAGACAGACTACTTGTTTCTACTTCTCTCGCGTAAGAAATAGAAGCTTCGAGTACCCTCCTAACAATCAACGTCACTACAGGGTGGAAATCTCTCGGTCTCTCCCGACTATACAGTGAAAAAAGGCAAACAGAGAGGCGACGCGAGAGGGTGTTTTCCGGCGGGCCGCCGTCGGGCTCTGGGAGGTGGGGAAGACAGCGGACGGCTGCGTCGCGGTTGTAGATAATGGTGTTTTAGGATTTGATTCTGGCGTTGGCGGGCAGGCGGGGCGACTTTGATGAAGTGGAATAAGGTTCCTCCGGCTCCTTCCCGTCGCGGCGGTGCTCCCTCTGATGGCGTTGCGGCTCTAGGGAGGTTGGTCTCTCTCTGATCCGGGCATCCGGCGAGGTTTGGTTGGTGAAGGGGTTGTACAGAAGTTGGGATTTGTGGAGAGGGATTCCCAGATCCGGTCACCACGGACGACCGGCAGCTGCGGGCGAAGTTGTTGGAGTTGCTGCTGCACTCCGGTGTAGGCTGGCGCTGGTGGCAGCTTCAAGGACTGGGGAGCAGGGGTACCCCCGACTTATGCACCGAACCCGCCCCTGGTTCTGTCTTATGCGGCAGGACTTGTATGCGGCCCACAAAGCCATGGATTGGCGATAGTGCTCCTCGCACCGGCGGGTGCAGAGATCAGCATGCCTTGGTGAAGAATTAAGATGAGCTGGGCTGTAAGTTACTTTGTTTTCTCTGATGACATTGATTCCCTTCATCCCTTGCTTTCTCTGGTTCTCAACCTCCAACGACGTCCCTTTTTTTGTGCTGCCTATGGAGATTAGCAGCGGCAGGATCTCCATGAGTAGGCCATGGAGGATATCTGCCGGTGGCGACCTACTCGTTCCCGATGGCTCCGGTGCCCCAAGGGTAGGTGTTCTTTCCTATCGTGCTGCATATGGAAGCTCCGTTCTCGAAATCTCATGTCTGTAGGATGTTGCCGTCAGGGTGGATTTAGCTGGGGTGGTTTTAGCCTACATTGTTAGCGTAATAATTATGATACTTTTGTTCAAGCATACCAGCAAACGCACACACTTTTGATTTATTTTCCTAAGCTGCTGACTTTTCTTCTGATATTTCACCTGACCAAGTGAAAATGGATCTTTCCCTAGCTGTCTATCCCTACATTTTTTTGCAAATATGTGCCCGTTATGCTGTCATGTAAATTCCACAACACATCTGTATGCGTGTATCCTTCTTATAGTTTCTATTACCCAATTATAGTCATGCTTGACAGCGTGAGGGCTGAGACTAACAATTCTTTTCGCCTCTATGCCCCTTATTTCAGTGCATTGTGCTATTGTATACTACTATTATAATGGCATGTGCATTTAGTAAAATCCCTTGATTATGGCAACATGTAAAAAATTTAAATGTTTCCTGAGTGCAGAATGTGGTATAGATTCGTGCAAGTTCTAAAACCTGCAAGTACTGAATTACATAATAATTGTGCAAGGCAGTAAAAAAGAAGAAGATGATGATGATTCAGTTATCAAGAGGATGTCTGAACTCTAAACCTGAAGGACAGGAAATCAAACTTGAGGAGGATAATGGAAGAGAAGAAGAAGCAGACATTAGGATAATGAAACAGAAGGAGTAGATAATGAGGATGGTACTGAAAGAGAAGACGAGATGCACCTTGGCTAAGTAAAGAGCTAGACCTAAAATTGCCCATAAAGGGAATCAGGTCCCTTTCTCTATCGGTGACATCTTAGCTGCCGTCGATTAGGTGCATATTTCACGAGATAATCTCGTTCTAACATGTCTCTAATTTTGATTTTTCCTGCGGATTTCAAAATATAGAAGGCAGCTTCGAAGAGGGGTCACTGGCGAGCAACGTGAGGCCATTGCGTCTATTTTTGTGTTAGTTAGTTTCAAAGAAATCACACTAATTTCTCTTAGTTTATGTCTCTACAGAGAAATAATTCCTGGAGCAGGTTTCAGTGAAGACTACTGATTTAGAATTGGCTGTACGTTCATGAACAAATTTCTGTTGCTGAAATAAGTCATGGTGCAGACTTCAGTGAGGACTACTGATCTAGAAGTCGTATGTTCATGAACAATTTTTTGTTGCTCTGACTGAACGGTTTGTCTCTGTAATTCTTATCTGTTTGGGTGGTGCCCAGCTGCCAATAGAAGACAAGCTGTCTTCTTGCCGAACAACGCCACAATTGCATAGTTCCATGTTATTTAGGATTGTCTCTGTCGCATACGACTTGGAGTTACAAGAGGTCCGGTACTAATTTTGTGTATGTATGTACATGTGCACTCGCCTGCTCTATATACACATGATTTGGAAGCATCTTTTGCTGTACATTTTGTTTCTTTGCTCGGTACAAAATATTGCAAGTGTTGTTCATTTTTTCCCCTTTTATGTAAATATACTACAGACCTTCTACATGCTCAGTTTTCTTCCTTTTGTCTGAATATATCAGACATTTATGTATGAGGTAGTGATTGTCTGATGTCCTAGCAGTTTGATGAAGCAAAAAACGAAGAGCTAATATTGTTGGCACATATGTTTTGAGCAAACAACTAAAAGAAGACTATCATGCTTGACAAATGATTCCATGTCCTCATAGATGCCTAAGGTATGTAACTAATTAAGTGAAACTAGCTATGTGAGTTATGTTTGGAATATTTCTTCCTTCTACTTCATTCTTGTTTGTCATGAAACCATATATAAGTGTGCTCAAGCTATAGTATGTATGCATAATATATTGTCTTGATTGCTATCTTCAAGATACTATTATGTGATATTTGATATGATTCTTTTTACGTCAAATCTTGCAAAGGGGTTTGGAATGTTACAACATCGATTTATATTATATGTTGTCATTATATTTTGTTCATGGTCGGCATGCTGCATCATATAATGAGATGACATATACGCGGCATTGGTGGGTGGCGGATCAGGATAGGTTTAACCCATTGTACTATGGCTGAAAAATTAAGTTAGTAGTCGTCACAATTTTGCCACATGCGTTTGGCTTGTTTTTTCTCGATGCATGATAGAGTGAGCAATGTGAAAGGTGAGTAGGGAGGACAACAAGTCTTCTCCCAAGGCAAAGACGGAGAAGAAAATGTTTGGCTTCGATCAAAGGGTTTATTGATTGGAAACCATATGTTTAATCATGCTTGATATGTACTCAGTACATTTGTTATTGTTTATAACAACATATTGGTTCATGATTATAACTTAAATCCACCTGATCTTATTTGATTCGTAGCGTAGCACGGGCATCTTACTAGTCTATGAACATACCACGAGCTCTAACGACCAAATTCACATGTTCCGCTATCTAATTTCACATGTTTCATATTTATTAAAAAGTGTTAAAAATTGTAGGAGTGGAATATACATGCCACTATCACTACTGAAAGTGAAGAAGACTAGAAGTGAAATTATACAAGTTAGACAACATCAGGACCTTTGATATAAATTCCGACGACTCACGGTTGGATTACGGATAAACCTCACCTACTAATACCAAGTCGTTGGACGTTTTCCATCAGCTTTAAACCTATGACCATAGTGCCAAATTCCTCAGCTGGAGCTTTCATGAGTCAATCGCATCATCATCGCCACGCAAATATCGTTGCAGGATCCGACGAAAAGGTGGATATATAGATTTAGTGGAATGCTATTTGCTTGTAACAAGGTGCCGAGTCCCTGTCAATGGAAAGCGCTTCGAATGAACGATCTATGCTACGCACGTAAGCCGGTCCGATTCGATCCGATCCATCATTCATACACACGCACAAAGGTAAGAAATTGCGTGTAAAAGGCGGCATTTGAACGCATCAAGAAAGGCCTGATTACAGGGAGGCCACATCCCATATATGCCGCTAATGCTTTTGTGTTTACTGCTCCAGCCTGCAGGAAAGCGAGTGGGTAACTAAAGCAAGCAACAGGACCAAATCCGTCTCCTTTACCGGCGCCCGATTCTGTTAAACAAATGTGGCCGCATGCTTGCTTGGGGTGCTTTTGTCGGCCCCTCTATTCTTATAAGCCCGTCAGATCCAGCTCTGCATTACCTTAATCATTAAGCACTACCGTGTACTCCTACAAGCCTAAGGCTCCATGACATTGCTGCAACTGTGGAGGCCTGGTATTCTCAAAAACATATGTCGAAATTGTGTTCAGGAAACGGCATTGCGGGTTTTCAGAGTTGGTGATGATATAATTAACATAACACTTTCAGAGTTGGTGATGATACAACTAACATAACAGTATGATATGAAGATTTAGCGTTGCAACTGAAATGTGATTCAGTGGGAGTGCTCTTGACAGTTGAACCATATAAAAATCCATGCAAAAAAAGGTGCACAGAATGGCTGAGAGAAAATAAATAAAACATGAAACGCAATACTTTGCGATTTTAAATTACTTTGCGCAGGAAAAGGTAGAAAAGGAAACGCGGACAAATATGAATGGGATGAATAATTCGGAAAAGGTGAAAGTTTGAAAACACAAAAAAAGATGGAGTGCCAGATCATACACACACGGATCCACACAAGCTAAAAGCAGTCAAAACAGAAAAAAAGAGAAAAAGAGAAGCAAGTTGGTAGCTGCTTAAGGGAGGAGTGATGATATACAGTGGTAGCAAGCAGCAGCAGCAGCAGGTCGAGCATACTGAATCTATCTCACCCTGCATTGCACTCCATCAGGGATTCAGGATGAACCATGGGCAGCAGCAGCCGTACCACCTGAGCAACACGGTGATCGGCTACCTCAACCTGCTCACGCTGCTCGCCTCCATCCCCGTCATCGGCGCGGGCCTCTGGCTGGCGCACGCCGCCTCCGCCGCGCCGGGCCCCACGTGCCAGTCCGCGCTGCAGGCCCCGCTGCTCGCCGTCGGCTTCGTCGCCTTCCTCGTCTCGCTCCCGGGCTTCGTCGGCGCGCGCTACCACGTCTCATGGGCGCTCTGGCTCTACCTGCTCGCCGTGCTCCTCCTCGTGCTCTTCCTCCTCGGCGCCACCGTGTTCGGCCTCGCCGTCACGGCGGGCGGCGGCGGCAGGATGGTGCCCGGGAGGCCCTACCGCGAGTATCGGATGCGGGACTACTCGCCGTGGCTGCGGGGCCACGTGTCCGCCGACCGGTACTGGCGCACGGCGCTGGCGTGCGTGGCCAGCTCCAGGGCGTGCCCCAAGGTGGCCGGATGGACGCCCGACGACTACATGCGCCGCGACCTCACGCCCGTGCAGTCCGGATGCTGCAAGCCGCCCACGTCCTGCGTCTACGGCGGCGACGGGCTGACGGGCCAGGGCCCGGCGGTGGTGGCGGTGCAGGACGAGGACTGCTTCCGGTGGCAGAACGACCCGGCGGTGCTCTGCTACGGCTGCGACTCGTGCAGGGCCGGCGTGATGGAGCAGCTGCGCCGCCACTGGCACAACGTCACCGTCGTCAACGCCGTGCTGCTGCTGCTGCTCATCGCCGTCTGCTCCTGCGGCTGCTGCGCCTTCCGCAACGCCCGCCGCGCCGAGTACGCCTACGCCGGACGCATGTCCAAGATCCACCCGCGATGGGACTACTTCTGGTCCGTCCTCCTCGCCCTAGCTACTTCGTTCATGTCAAATTACTCACCATTTGCATGGTATACATTCATTGATTTGCTTACGTACTTATCCATGACAAATCTATGTGTGTATGAATCAGGTCAAGGTGGTGGCGTGGCCACAGAGAACAAATCTATTAACTCACTGAAGCCTCCTTCCTTGGTTCACATCACATGGTGTGATTGTTCCCACGGAGAGTGGTTTGGAATTTGTATGAACAAATAATTTCCAAGTGTTTTTAGTCTAAACTAGAGTCATTAGACACATATAAGAGTTTGCTCCACATGTATGTTGCGCATATCAAGTAAAGTACGTGATTTTTTTTACATTTTCTCCCACTGTGATTATGTGTGTCGTGTATTCAATTCTTGTTGCTCATCTAGAAAAATTCAAGCTGACAACAGGGATTACCCAGACAGGTATTGGACTCTCATCCCCGTGCCCGCAAGTCACCCCATACCCGTCCCCGTACCCGCCCACGAGGACAAAAAGTTTCCCATCCTCATCCGCATCCGGGTTTTCATCCCCGTGTGGAAACCCATATACGCAATCAACAAAAACCTTCGGTAGCAAATTAGTAAAACAAAAGCAACATTTCAGCACAATAAGTAATACGTTATCACTAGGTTCGAATGATTTCCATAATTACTTATCTCAGGTCACGGTGGTGGCGTGGCCACACAGAACAATCTATTAACTCACTGAAGCCTCCTTGGTTCACATGGTGTGGTGGTTCCCACCGAATGGAAGACTTGTTAGTTTGGAATTTGTATGAACAAATAATTTCAAGTGTTTTTGGTCTAAAAGGCAGATGGTTTGCTCCACGTATATGTAGCACGTATCAGGTAAAGTATATGATTTTTTATATCTTTCGCCCATTGTGATTAGCGTGTGTCCTTTATTCAATTATCATAGCTCATCTAGGAAAATTAAAGCTGGCAATGGGGATTACCCGGACGCGTATTGGACTCTCATCCC